ACCCAGCGCATAGTACGTACACAGAAAATGATAGGCACTCAGAAATTTCCAGGTTGTGGATTAATCCCAATAGCCCTTTTGTTTCCTTTCTTCCTTTCTTCCTTCCTTCCTTCCCTTCTTTCTTTCTTTCCTTTCTTCTCTCTCTCTCTCTCTCTTTCTCTCTTTCTTCTTTCTTTTTAAAAATTCATTTGTGTTTTAGCACTGCTAGTGATTTAATCCAGGGACTTGTGCATGCAAGGCCCATGCGATATCACTGACCCAAGACTTCCAGGCTCAAACCTTGGTGTTGAACATTTAGCTTCAATCTCTGCCTTAGTGTATCTTGCACTTGGGATCTCAGTGTGAATCATCATCTTTGGACACTGGAAACTTTAATGGAGCTAGGCCTTCCCCAGACCTGGACAAAAGAAGATAGAAAGGTTATGGAGGCTGCATCGGAATGCCCCACGTATGCCTTTAATCCCAGCACTCAGGAGGCAGAGGCAGGTGGATCTCTGTGAGTTCGAGGCCAGCCTGGTCTACAAGAGCTTGTTCCAGCATAGGCTCCAAAGCTACAGAGAAACCCTATCTCAAAAAAAACAAAACAAAACAAAACAAAACAGAATGCCCCACTCTCAGCCAAAGACATTCGTGTTCCGTGCTCCCCTGCAGCAGCTGGGCAGGGTGAAGCCTCCTTGCTCTCTCCAGTGGGGTGCTGGGTACCAAGCTTTTTGTCAATATTCTAAATGTACTTATAGCTTACCTCCAAAGGAAGAGAAAAACAGTTCACCCTGGAAAACAACATGCAAGATACCTAAGCTATCTAGGCCAGGTGTCCTCTGTCCTAAAGGCCTTAGAGACCTTGGCACCTCCTCACCTAAGCAGGCAATATTCCTTTCTGTGGCTTGACCTGGAGAAGCCTGACTGACACCTCTTAGGCACTGACTTCTTTGTCTTGGGTCTTTTCTATTCATTCGACAGCTAACTACACACTGTTTTGTGATTTATGTATTTGTTGAGCTTATTTTTAGCACCTGCTGATTGCGTTAAAAACCCAGATAAGTAATCCTAACTCAGAGCACAGAAGCCTTAGTTCTACTTCCTCTTCCCCACACCTGAGCTTCTTCTGAGTTCCGCGAGTGAGCCTCCGGGCATCCTGTGTTCAAGCATGTGTGTGGCTGTCACGTTTGTCCAGCTGACCTCCAGGCACCTCCTTCAACTGACCGCTCTCTCCTCCAGTCAACACTGAGCATGATTGCCAACATAGCAGGCGGATCCACCCCTCTGCTGCGTCACTCATCCTGTGGCCCTGGTTCTCTAGGGGAGCAGTCAAGGTTGTTTCCAAGTGGTGCCACTGCAGGCAGGATGCAGTGTGTGTCTGTGATGTAGCAGGACAGGGTCCTCTATATCTGCACCAGTCTGTCGGTAAGGTAAACTCCTGGACTCAGGTTGCTAGATCAGAGGGCATTGTGAGTCTTTGCCAAACTTCTCTAGTGAAGCAGAACTGTTTACAGCTCCCCCGCCCCAGAAGGGGCTGCCTGCTCACCCTTACTACTACTACACATTTGTCAGCAGCTTTTTCTCTCTTTGGCTAAAAGATGTAAAGGGGCTCTTAACTTGAAAAACCTTTAGCAATTAAACCAGATACTGCCTTCTTCCATAAACAAGATTCCAGTGGCTTCCGTAGTTCTTAGAACCCATCTAAATTCTTGCCGAAAGCCTACGTGGTCTTCCAGGAAGCAGCCTCTGATATTGTCTCCCCATCTATCTTACGCCCTACCTGTCCCCTCCCCACTACTCTGTAGCCACCTCCTCTGAGTCCTGTTGGTGGCTATGCCTAACTCTCTGCTGCCTCAGGGCCTTTGGCTTCTCTGAAGGTGCTCCCCCTGCTCTTCCATGGCTGGGTCTGAGGGTTTCTATTGCTGTGATAAAACACCATGAACAAAAGCAACTTGGGGAGAAAAAAGTTCATTTGTTCACACATCCACATCGCAGTCTGTCATGGAAGGAAGTCAGGGCAGGAACTCAAGGCAGGAGTCTGGCGGCAGGAGCTGATGCAGAGGCCGTGAGAAACCTTACCTGCCTGGTGCACCTTGTTTCAATGTTGCTGTCATGCAAGCACAAGCCAAATGGTCAATCTCCCCATTTTACTAAAACCAAAGCATAGGAAGGATAAGCAGCACCCAGGGGAATGTTCTTCTTGCTGTTATCCAGTGAATGAAAGGTGAGCCAGAAATCCAGCTGCATTTAGCGTAGGAGATGTAAGACCTCCATGTGGTTTTACTGTCTAAAACATCACCCTTTGGTAAGTGGTCACTCATTCAGTGACTGTTGTGCACCCTGTTGACTGCTTCTCATAGCTCATGTCATTTACCTTCTGATGACACACTGCATCATTCTGCCCATTGTATAGAGGAGGGACTCAAGGCTTACACACTAGACGGATCATTTGCCAAAGTCACTCAGCTAGGATTTGAGCTGCCCTTGTCCGATTCTGAAAGCTTGTGGCTAGTCTCAGGACTAAAGTCTGACTCAGTAGCCATGAGCCGTCACCCATCTGTGTGGAATGTGTCCTGGGCAGGCTGTAGACTCAGGAAGGGTGTAGCGGGGAGGAGCTGTCTGTCGTGTGTTACTCCAGTTCTGTGGCAGACCTCTGCTCCCCACTCCTCAGGTTATCTACCTGCGCCGGTTCCCATGCCTGCGAACACTCAGCCTCTCTGGGAACCCCATTGCCGAGGCAGAGGAGTACAAGATGTTCATCTATGCCTATCTTCCTGACCTCGTGTACCTGGACTTCCGGCACATTGATGAGCAGGTGGCAAGTATCCCAGCTCTGTTCCCAGTTCTGCTATACAGTCTTTAGAGAGACAGGACATCTCCCCATCTGTGGTTAAGAGAAGATGGTTCCTGGCTGAGTCCTCTCCCCACCTGTGCACATCTCTTCCAGCAGTGGCTTCTCAAGGCTCCCCAGTGGCTTCCTGCAGGCCCAGGCCCCTTTTACATTTCACCCCAGGGCTACCAGGCAGCTGTGGTCTGTTTTCCAGGTAAAGACTTTAAGGACAGCAAAGGAAGTGGAATGATTCACCCACAGTCTCCCAGTCAGTTAGGGTCAGTCGAGGAGTTGGCTCCAAGAAGCTGGTCTTTCAGCCCCATTCTGGGCCAGCTATTGTGTGTGTGTGTGTGTGTGTGTGTGTGTGTGTGAGAGAGAGAGAGAGAGAGAGAGAGAGAGAGAGAGAGAGGAGAGAGAGAGAGAGAGATTTCCCTCTCTGCTGCCTGCCGCTGTCCCCTCTCCCTTGCCATATATGAGTGTCTCTCCTGCTGCTCCCTGTGTACATATGGTTCAGTGTGTGAGGCCTTTAGTAGCAAGACTATGAAGTCTCTCTATATCAGGTGCCTGGAAACCCAAAGGCTGCTGACCTGCCCAGTTCTCCCACAGGAAGTTGTGCGCCTCTGCTGAGAAAGAGGAACCTATATTGGCCATGCTGAGGGATTCAGGGGGTACCCAGGAAAGGCTATCTGGACAGAGGGGAGGGCTACCCCCAGTGTCTACCCTGTTCCTCTACAGCCTATAGCAGAGAGCCCAACTCTGAGGAACAAGCTGGCATCAAAGCCAAGTCTTGTGCTGTTCACTTCTATAAGAGGAGTTAGAGAGCTTCTTCCTACCCCCACTGACTTCTCTGTGACAATATGAACCTGAGTATTTATCTTGTTCTTTGGTTTTGTTTGTGTTTTTGAGACCACAGTCTCCTGTGGTCCAGGATGACCTTGAATTTGCTATATAGCCAAGAATAACCTTGAACTCCTGATCCTTCTGCCTTAGTTTCCCAAGTGCTGAGATTACAGGGATACAATGCCTGGCTCTTAGATTTTTATTTCACAGATTTTTTAAAGTTATTTTTTTATTTTATGTGCATTGGTGTATTACCTGCATGTATGTCTGTGTGAGGGTGTCAGAAGCCTTGGTGCTGGAGAGCTACAGATAGGCGTGAGCTGTCGTGTGGGTGCTGGGAATTGAACATGGATCGTTTGGAGCCAGTGCTCTTAACCACTAAGCCATCTCTCCAGCTCCAATTCTGAAAGTGTGTCTGTGTAGGGGGTGTTTTAAGACAGGGTTTCTCTGTGTAACTCTGGCTGTCCCGGAACTTGCTCTGTGTAGCAGGCTGGCCTCAGACTCACAGAGATCTGCCTGCCTTTGCCTCCCGAGTGCTAGGATTAAAGGTGTGCACCACCCCACCCCCCAGCCAATTCTGAGATTCTTAAATTCAATGGACAAGCTGGCACACTCCTCTAACCCCAGCACTTGAGAATTTGAGGCAGGAGGATCAATAGTTTGGGCACATCTTCAGCTATTCTAACTGTCTCAAAAAACTGAAAACCAAGCATCCCCTTTAAGCCTTGGTTTCATCTCAGAGCGGGGTTCCTACAGTTTTCTTCTTGTAGACCCTTTTTGCCTGAAAAAACTTAACATGACTGTAGGTAAATACATATGCAAATCAAACATTTATTGATAATAAATCATAAACAAGTTTATTTTAAAACAATTCTTTGATACATATAGAATGTTACCATGATTCAAAATAAATGAGTCAAAGTTCATAAGAGCAGAACTCTATCAAGCAGGCAATGGAACTTCCCTCTAACCCCGATGCCTGATCTCCCGCTGGTACCATAGAACTCAGGAAGGGGCCAGGGGCACGGCAGGCTGCTTCAGGGCAGGCTCTTGGAGCATCCCCAGTTCTGTGGTTCCCCTAATCTTAGGTTGCCTGGAAAGAATTAGGCATTCTCATCTCCAAGGCCCCGTGCCTTTCCCAGCTTTTATGAAAGATACCCTCCAACACACTGGCCATGCTCACGAGGCCTGAGGATGTGTGGCCGGAGGGACCAGAAATCCATTGGTAACAGTGCCTTTTCTGTTCCTGGGTCAGAAAGAGATGGCGAAGATAAAGCATCAGTATAGCATTGATGAGCTGAAGCACCGGGAGGCACAGATGCAGGCCCGGCTGGAGGCCGAGAAGGCCCAGCAGGAAAAGCTGGCGGAGCACAAGGTACCACACAGACAGCTGACCTGCCCTGGACACAGAAGTACCATGAGAATGCTGGTCACAATAAGCAAAGATCCACAGGGATCCCCAGAACCCCAAAACTTGTAAGGCATACTGCGGCCACAGGACCCAACACATACTCCCTGCCTTGCAGGGCCCCTATCACCATGTCCAGAGGCTCAGCCCAGTCCCCATCCCCCACCCCCAAGCCCAAAGAGACTGTCCTAAAAACACTTGGTTCCAGTGACTCCTTTACTGAAGGCCATCAAGCTGTTTCCCATCCCATGCAGTCACAGTTTGGTTTTCAGCGCTGGGGCTCTGACTTTGTGGCTGTGCCTTGCTGGCTCCCTTACCACCAGCTCCAGCCCCGTACGAACCTCAGTAGAGCGGTAGTACTTCTTGGAAACAGCCTGCGGCTATATCTGCTGCATCTCTGCGCACATCCTCCCTGTGCCAGCAATGCCGCCACACACTTGCCTTCCTGGGAGGGAGGGCTGCAGCTCAGGTGCCATGTCCCCCACAGGAATCCTTGGCTGCCTCCACCCTCCCAGGAGCCTGGCTCTGGGTCACCATGTCTGGGTATTTGAATCCACAGATGGCGTTCATCGACCACTTGGATGGCTCCTTCCTGTTTGACAGCATGTATTCCGAGGATGTGGAGGGCAACAAGCTGTCCTACCTGCCTGGTGTTGGTGAGCTCCTTGAGACATATCCTTTCTGGGTCACTGCTACCTCTTCGGGTGCAGGCCTGGTCCAAGTACCGCCAGTTTGCCTTGGGCAAGTTCATTTGGCCCCGTACCTCAGTTTCCCCATCATTCATGTGAGACCCTAGTCGTTAAATCTCTGCTGGCTACATGTATGCAAAAGGCCATTCCAGCTACACCCGTTGAGTGTTGTGGGGCAGCGCTGTCCAGATTTCTGCGGGCACATTGTGTGACAGCCGCAGGCTGGGTCTGCCATGCCCGGGAAGCTGGGTTTTCTGAGGTAGGAGTAGGGAGTGTTCTACGCCAAGGGTCTCCACTGGCTACGTTACTGCTCTTGAGCCACATCTCCAGGTGACTGCCATTAGTAGCCCCAGAGGGTAAGCAGTTTGTACAGGATCACTCATCTGTGTGGCCTAAGAGCTTGCATCTGTCCCCTAGCTGGCCAGAGCCCGAGGATGCCACTTGTCATATATAGCGGCAGTGGTCCTGAGAGCCAAACCATGGGCCTCAGTGGAAAGAGGGAGATGGCGGGCACCTCTAGGACATGGGGCGTTCTGAAGCAGAGGGCTCTGAATTGAGACAGCCGGTCCCAGATAGTCTGTGGGCCACTAACACTGATGTCAACCTCCAGAAAACTTACAGGGACGGATCTCTAATAAAGGAAGTGTCATTTGGGAATAATATGTGAAACTAGAATTGCAATTTGGGAGCGGTCAGGATTCCCCAGGAATGAGAAGGGACGCCACTGTCCCATGTCACGGTGCCTGCAGCTATCCTTTTCCTGGCTTGGGCGTGGGCAAGTACATGGCTGGCTGACCCTGTGATGGCTCCTATGTGAGACCCTCCATCCATGGCCCTCCCAGCTCCTCTGGCCAGCTTTGGTGAGATCCTAAAGGCAGAGTCTAGACATTGGTGCCTGCGTTGAATATGACACCTTTCTCGGGAGGTCTACCCAGAACCCAAACACTGTGAAGAGAGTAAGTTGGGGAAGATGGTGCTTCAACCATGTTGGCCACCCCTCTCCTCAGGGACTTATGCTTAAGCACCATGAAGCTGTGAGATTTGTGGAAAGGCATCCCATCTCCTGAACACAGCATCCCCAAGACCCTATGGGGTGGCCTGCCTGAGCCCCAGGACTCTGCCAAGGAATTTTTGGTTTGATTTGTTTTGCTTTGTTTTGTGACTAGGTCTCACTATTATATCCCTAGCTGGCTTAGAACTCACTCACAGAGATTCCCTGCCTCTGCTCCCACCCCACCCCCCTGCCAAATCCTGGGATTAAAGCTGTATGCTACCATGTCCAGCCTCCAAAGGACTCTGTGTTGTGGCTTCCTCCATGCCCTTAGCTTAGGGAAGGGAAGGACACTGAGGCCCAGAGAGGTAACTTGCTAGGGTGGGTCCCAGAAGCACCATCAGAGCTATGGCTTGCACCTGGACCACCTGGTTCCTCTCTCAACTTAGATGAGCCACGGGACAGGCCCTTCTCCGAAGATTTAAAAAATAAAAAAAGATTTTAATTTAACCAGAGATTTTTTGAAAAAGAAAAAAGGGACTCCAGCTCATCTCCTGGCAGGCTTCTTCTGGCTCTCTCTGGACCCCAGTCCTCTGGAAGTCTCTTCTAAGGCCATTAGCCCTGTTCCTGAGTTCCTTAGGTGCAGGTAGAGATGCCACAACCATCACGTTCTGCTCCAGATTGCAAGCCCCAGATCACTGGCTCCTCTGTTTCCTTTCTGTCAGAAGGATGACCTGTGGCCTCCATAGTGTTCAGCGTTTCATGCTCTGCAAGGGACTGTCGACATTTTTGTCACAACCCTAGTGGCCTGTTCTTGAGCCCCAAGCTTCCTTAACAGCCACTTACCTACAAGGACAAATTTGTCATCATCTGCCTGAACATTTTCGAGTATGGCCTCAAGCAGCAGGAGAAGAGAAAGGCAGAGTTGGACACTTTCAACGAGTGCATACAGGAGGCCATCCAGGAGAACCAGAACCAGGGCAAGCTCAAGGTTGCCAAGTTTGAGGAAAAGCATCTGCTGGTAAGGCCCCTTCTCCTGTGCCGGGTGCCAGGACTCTCCTCATGTGGAGGAGCTGCAATGCCCATGCCCTCTAGCGCTTCTTGAGGCCCCTAGTCTCTGTCCATGTGCCAGGGATCACAGTGTCACCAAAGGGCACCACACACAGCTCCACTGAACCAGCACAGGGGCCGCCCTCCCTCACATCAGATACCCCAAGGATTCAGGGTCACCCCAAAATCATCATCATTAGTGTTAGCCGTGGGATTATCTGTACCACTCTTCTGCTGATGACAGTGGTAACACCCATGCTTTCTTCTGTTCGTTCGTTCATTCATTCATTCATTCATTCAGTAGGCATTTATTTTCCAAGCCTCACTCTGCCTAGGTCTGACATGCTGGGGTTCTGATACACATGGTCCCTGTACTTGGCAGTTCCCACCTTGTAAGGCACTGGGCCCTTTCTTACCTGAGTGACTGAGTGGTCAGGGCTGTCCCAGAGCTCTGGAAAGGCTCACTTCCAGAGAAGGACCTGGGGCCTCCCTGCCAGCAGCACAGGTGGGGATTAAGTCAGGGTGCCTTGAGATTTTAACAGAGTGTGCCCCTCTACACCCACTAAGTCCGTTCATCCACAGCCTGCCTGCTCCTCACAGGCCTCTCATTTTCGCTCATCTTGATTTTTCTTGTCTAGTTTACAGCCATTCTGCCCTTTTCTCTTCCCTTCCCTCTATGGCAAAGTATTACTTTATTATGGCTCTTTATAGATTGAGCTAGTAGCCCTGAAGCCTTGAAGGACCTTGAGAGTATTTTTCTCGGTTTGCTGTGTAGCTTGACATTTGTCATTGGTGCTTTTGTCGTGTAGAGTGTTTGTGTAGTCGGGCAGTCTACTGAGCACAATACAACCCCAGCATATGATATAATATAACACACACACACACTTTGTAGACTAGACTGGCCTCAAACTCACAGAGATCCACCTGCCTCTGACTCCCAAGTGCTGGGATTAAAGGCATGTGCCATCATGCCCAGCATGAGTTAGTTTTAAAAGCCTTATTTGCGCAGATATTTTTCAGCCCTGGCTCCCATCTCTGATGATAAGAATGTCTTCCCCTCCTCCTGGCACAGGCAAAGAATTTCATCTTCCACCTTTGAGGAGATGAGGTAGGTCTGAATGCTCTTTTGGCACCTGCATTTTCAGGTACCTTCACATGCAATAAATCAGAGCAGCAGGTAGCTTCCCCCAAGGTCACAGAGCTAGCAGATTGTGAGCTAATGATTGAACTTGTTCAGCCCCAGGCTCCAAGTTTTTACCTATAAAATCAAACTGTCACTTACTACTAAGTAACATGTTTACCTACCGAATCCTGAAACACAGGGGTTTTGTTTGTAGAATGTGAATGCCATCCGAGAAGAGAGTGAACTGCCCAACATCGAGAAGAAGCTGACAGAGTGCAGTGATGACATCACCGAGCTGTTCAACATGCTCATGACGCTGGAGATGCAGCTGGTGGAGCAACTGGAGGTAGAGCCAGACTGGCGTAGACACAGGGGCCTCAGCATGCAGCTGCAGAGCCTCACAAGCATGCTCTCACAGGCTCTTCCCCTGTATGTCCAGTGTAGCCCAGTGGACATGCAGGAGAAGACTGGACAGGTAGAGACAGGTGGGTCTCTAGGGCTCCCTGGCCAATAGTTTAGCAAACATGAGTTCAGGCCAGTGAGAGGAAAACAGGCAAATGGTGCCTGAGGATGTCCTTTGCCACCACCCAACATTCACACCCCCCCACATGCACATCACCATACATAAAAATGAGCATGTGCATGTCACATATGCATGCACGCGCGCACACACCACTTTCTTCCAGAACTATTAAAATACATTACAGGCAAGGGCTAAAAGTGTAGCTCAGTGCTTGCTTGCTTGCTTGCTTGCTTGCTTGCTTGCTTGTTTAGCACAGACAGGGCCCTAGGTTCCATCCTCAGTAATTGCCAAATAAAGAAAAGAAAAGGAAGGCACACACTGCGATCTTTGCTGCCTAGGAAATTATTCTTTTGGAGAATGAGAGGTGAACTTGTTTCTCTGAAAATCTCCTCTCCCCCATCCTAAAAGAACCCAGAGTCCCAATAGTGTGCAGATTGCTTATTTGGCCCAAGGGGAAGTTCGGGGGCGCATGAAACAAGGTGGACCTCCACTCGGGAACCAAACAAAGGCTCATCAGTGTTGCAGGCTGTGCTTGCTGTCTTGGGGGTCGGCAACATAAGGAGCCTGTCACTTGGCTCTGATGATGGGAAATGAAAAGCACGGTTGTCTCAGATGCATTTGCAGCCAGGGTGACATGCGTGTTTGCAGGCAGCCAGGCTGGGAGTTGGAAGTGGTGTGATGAATTGGACCTCATCAGATGTTGCCACGGCTGGGCCAAGAGACAGTGCCTAATCAATTCCTCACACGTCAAGTGACACTTCCTACACAGGATAGATTCGCTGTCGCCCAGCACAGCAGCCGCTCATTTCCCACCGGGAATTGCTCGGCTCAAGCACTGCCGAGGCAGCGCCGCAGGGGAGGGCTGCTGCTGGCTCTCAGTCCTCTCAAGCAGGGAGACTGTTTTCAGGATGCAAACATCTCCCAGGTCCATGCTCTTGACCTGCCCATGTCACCGGCCACCTAAGGCCGGAAGGCACTTGTTTGTGCTTTCTAATGACCTTTTATTCACCAAGATGGTGCTCTCACGCATGTGATAATGGGCTCATTTTCACAGCCTGCAGACTGGCCTTGGGCTCCTGTGAATGCTAGAGGTCTGTGGGAGGCAATGGAAAGGGTCTTCCCGGGGAGCAGGTTTCACAGTCACATTCGTCTATCATTTTCTCAACAACATTGAGATCTGCTTAGGCCGCAAGTGCTCTGCTAAGTACTGGGAACAGCAGCTAACTGTCGGATAACAGGTAACAGCCTAGGGTAACATCAACATCTATCCAGGGTCCTGGCGTCCTGGCTCTGCCAGATAGTTGGTAAATCATTTGGGTGATGTAGCTAATTTAACTACACTAACCGCTAACTGCCATGACACTACACAGAAACCCTGCTCACATATGAAGAGGCCCAGAGAGATTAAATGATGTCCCTGGAGTAGAGCTGGCTCTTGAGGAGATGATGGACAGATCCCGCTGAGAGGCCTGAAAGGAAGAAGTCGGTTCAGGGAGGAGGGGAGTCAGTATACGTGCTCCTGGCAGAGGCAGCTACATAGGAAAAAGGCTTGGTGTCAGAGCTGTAGGATGATCTTGCTTAGTGGGTAAAGGTGCTTACTGCCAAGCCTGGTGACCTCAGTTTGAGCCCTGAGACCCACATGGTGGAAGGAAAGAACTGACTCCTACAGACTGTCCTCTGATCCCACGTGTTTTCACACACACACACACACACACACACACACACACACGTAATATAAAAAAATTAAATCCTGGGGCTGGAGAGATGACTCAGTGATTAAGAGTACTGGTTGCTCCTCTAGAGGACCCAGGTTCAATTCCCAGCACCTACATATCAGCTCACAACTGTCTCTAATTCCAGTTCCAGGGGGTCCGACACCCTTACACAGAATATATACAGGCAAAACACCAGTGTGCATTAAATAAATCTTTAAAAAATGTAAATCCCAGAGGCAGTAGCTGATGAGAGCTACTGGTTAAAAGCACTTGTTGCTCGTGCAGAGGACCTGGATTAGGATCACAGACCCCACATGACAGCTCTCAACTGTTTGCAGCTCCAGGTCTAGGGGACACAATGCCTCCTCCTGACTTCTGCAGGCACCAGGTGTGTACACCGTGCACAGACACACATGTAGACAGAGCACTCATGTACATACGATCTTCTAAAACATCGACAGCAGAAGCATTCACGGGGGTAGTGAGCTGACACTCTAGTGCTCTGGAAAGGAGGGGTCAATCCTTAGCCATTGGCTGCCCTAGGAAGTCAAGGGGGGCGGTCTTCGCCGCGAAGGGTCTGTGATTTGAGGTGGTGTAGAGGATGTCGATTCACATGTTGACTATCTTCTGTATCATTTCCAGGAGACTATAAACATATTTGAAAGAAACATCACTGACTTGGTGGGACTGTTTATTGAAAATGTCCAAAGTCTATATCCTTTATGTGATGAGCCCTACCTCACCCCACAGGAAGGCACTGTGGGCTCCTGGGGTTGTCTTGACCTCTAGAGCAGCTGGAGCAGAAGGGCCTAGGTTCTCAACAAAAAGCAAAGGTGGATGAAGCCTCTTCAGAAAGTAAGAGGAGATTAAGGAATAGCTCGGAGAACTTGCTTAACAGAAGTGAGGCCCTGGGTTCAATGCCCAGCACTGAAAAAAAGAGAAGGAAAGTAGAGATTAAGAGTGTGTGAATAAATGGTGGCCACAGAGTAAAGTGAACGCTTTAGATCACACTTCAGTTCTTACCCAAAATACTTAACCCCATAGATTTGCAGAAAGACCTAAGTCCTCATCCCAAAAAGGTGTTTATACCCCTACAGGGCCCTAGTTCACGGCTCTCCATTTATGAAAGTAGAAGAATGTAAAATGTACCAATTTTCACCAGGAAAGAGGTCCTTCCTAGCATAGGATGCAGATTTGGTGGCCACAGACATATTCCATAGCACCTGAAGTGCCTCCTAGCACTCAGCAGTGGCGGCCTTGCTAGAGTGCCAGTTTGGATGCCAGAGGGACTTCTGCGCAATAGTCTTGCATATGTTCCTAAGTGGGTGATGTTCATGGGGACACTGACACCCCAGAATTCCTGACTGACTTTTCATTGCAAAAAACCACTCTGGGATAAGGCACTACCCACTCTGAAGACAGGGCAAATTATAGGGAAGCTTGACAGGCTACTTATTAAGGTTAGAAACCAACATGTGAAACATTATCAGCCCTTTATAGGGGCAAAGTGCTAAGTTCACCCCAGAATGACTCAGGTTCTGTCATCCTGGGGCTCAGAGTCCAGCACGCAGTCATTGAGGTACCAAGTGGTATGCAGGGTACAGGGTCATCAGTCTCCACAAACACTAAATAAAAAAAAAAAAAAGAAAAGACCTGCAGGTGGCCACAGGAACCAGGTGAAAGGAGATAGATTCCAGGCAGCAGAATCAGCGTGTTCCAAGACCCTGAGGAGGAACCTGAGAAAACAAGTTTCCGGATGAGGACTTCCGGCCATGTCAGAGAATGGACGCTCTGGGGAGCTCTAAGCTAGGAACTGGCTACTTAAACCCTTCCTCTTATTCCAGCTGCTGTTGGAGAAGGGGTAAGAGGGCATGGGAGACCAGTGAGGCCTGCTGCAGTGTTGGGAAGCCATGAGGGTGGAGAAGTTGATGAGAGTGAGAAGCCTGAGGTGAGCTGCCCCCGAGGGACAGTAATGACCCAGTATAAGGACAGGAATAACATGGCGACCTGAGCATGGCCCTGGGCTTTGATGCATGTGGGTGACAGCTTGAAGGCCTTGATGCCTCTTAGTACCTCAAAGCAGATCAGGAACCCTTAGAGCAGCTGTAACATATCAGCTATCCTGCATATTTATGACTCACAACAGTAGCAAAACTACAGTTACGTAGTAGCAACAAAATAACCTTATGGGTGGGGGTCACCACAGCATGAGAAACTGTAGTAAAGACTCGCAGCATTAGGAAGGTAGAAAACTCTAAGGAGTTAGAAACTGGTCTCTCTAGTGGAGATGGCATGGCCTTGTTTAGCAGAGGCCCAGCCACCGGTGGGAGACATCTGGCCTGCTCTGCCCCTGGCTTTAACTCACGACTGCAGGATGGCTCAGTGCCGGGATTTGGAGAACCATCACCACGAGAAGCTCCTGGAGATCGCCATCAACACCCTGGAGAAGATCCTCAAGGGCGAGATGGATGAGGACTTGACAGATGATGTGCGGGCGGTGAGTAAGGGCGGAAGGACTGGGGCACGGCGGCCACGGACAGGGGCCAGAAGTGGCTCGCCTAAGCGTGACAAGCTCCTGGAGCCTCTGTGTCTTCACCTGAAGGAGACAGTAGCCTGCTTTGCTGGGTTAAGGTTAGAACTGCAACACTGGTACACCCCCAAGCCTCATGTCTGGTCCAGCACCACACTGCCCGGATTTCCACCAGGGCAGGTAGTGATGAATACTGGGGATCATCATTGGGTCTATACCTCTGAGTCCACCCCAGCTCCAGCAGCGGCACGGAGATGGCTTAGGAAAGGGCTCCAGGCAAGGATGAATAGGCACAGGTCCAATACTTCCCCTCAGGGGCCTGCTTTTGTCCAGACACTGCTGAGCACTATGCTATTTCAGGCCATGTTCCAGTTGCGCTGCCTGCCTCTTAGAAACTGTTCTCCATCTGCAGGCAGGTAGAGCCACTGGAAAGCCAGACTATACAGTCCTCACCCCTCCCAGCTTGCCAAGTGTCTCAGATACTCCAGGCTAGGCCTGCTTCCCTTGGAGCCCCACTCCAGGTTCTGATGCTCAGTGACCAGCCTCTGGGGTACTCCCCTCCCATCTTTCAGGCTTGCTCCTTTCAGCTGACAATTCTATCTTATTAGGGTTTCTATTGCTGTGATGAAACACCATGACCAAGGCAATTCGGGGAGGGAAGGCTTTATTTCATCATAGAGCCCGCAGGTTATAACCTAGTACTAAGTGAAGTCAAGGCAGGAACTCAAGCAGGGCAGGAACCTGGAGGCAGTAATTGATGCAGAGGCCATGAAGGAGTTCTGCTTACTGGCTTACTCCTCATAGCTTGCTCAGCCTCCTTCCTTATAGAAGCCAGGACCACCAGTCCAGAGGTGGCACCACCCACAGTGGGCTGGGCCCTCCCCCATTGGTCACTAATTAAGAAAATGCCTTACAGCTAAATCTTACGGAGGCCCTTTCTCAAGTGAGGCTCCGTCCTCTCTGATAACTCTAACTTGTATAAGGTTGACACAAACCCAGCCAGTACACATTCTACCTGGCAGACATGCACCCTTCAGTCTCTATGTGCCTTTCTTGTCCTTGCCATTTAGATCTCAGCTCAAGTCCTAGCTCTCCTGAGAGGCTTTCCCCGGGTACCTCTCACACTGCTGTCCCTTCTCCACACCCCATCCATCGGGTCACAGTTTTAAATTTAGGTTCATGTCGATTTGTTCCTACAACTCTTCACACTTCACCTAAGCTTGCGAAGGAGACCAGAGATGATCGTCCCACCACCATGGACCGCCTGTGCCCGCAGGAGCATCCAGCATGGCAGCGGGAATGACTTTGGAGCTGAGTGAATGAAAACATGTGTTTACCAAATCCTTGCCTTATCAGGAGCTGGTCCGAGTTGTGCAGACAGAAAGCCAGCAGCCTTGGCCCCGTAGCCTCTGTTCTGAGGCTAGGATAGCAGGGTGCAGGGCCACAGTCACACTAACCTCCTCTCCCCAAGCCACTTACAGAGCCCATTGTTGACCAGACAGGAAAATGCTACTCTGCCCTAACCGAGAAGCACGTCTCCTCTGAGAGGTTCTGGAAGTCTCTGACAGTACTCATGGAGCGGGTAGAGTTCCTAGGCCTGTGACACAGTGAACATCATCACTGAACCATGCTCACTCACTAGTGACTCTAGCACACAGTAAAATACGGGTCCCAGAGCAGAGAGGCAGGTCAGTGTGCCCTCTCACCCAGGCGGCCCTGTTTAGCACAGTAGTGTCTGGCAACCAAGTTTCTTCATTAGAGGATTACCACCACTCAACCTGTTGACCTCACGTGACCTCATTTCCTCACCAAAGGAAGTACCATTATCACTCGAGGTTGGGAATGAGAATGCTGAGCAAGGCAGGCTCAGAGATGCCTGGTGAGAATGGCACAAGCAGTGAGGGCAAGGGTCTGAATTTTGACTCTAGTCTGACAGACAGCGCTGAGCCTGTAACTATAGTTGTCTCTGCACCCATCCATACTCACCACAGCTGACAGGCATTTTGGGGGTGCCCATGGTAGCAGGCCAAGGGGCTCTGTCTCTCTGCTAAAGGGAGTCTCAGACTCACTAGCAAGACTGTAATAGATTACTGCCTTCAAAGCCTCCTGGTAAGCTGGGCAGTGGTGGCGGACACCTTTAATTCCAGTACTCAGGAGGCAGAGGCAGGCGGATCTCTGAGTTCCAGGACTGCCAGGGCCACACAAAGAAGCCCTGACTCCAAAAACAAACAAAACAAAACCTGGGGGAGAGCCAGTGAAAGCTCCTTCTTCTTACTTATTTACAGTCAGAGACAAGAAATCCCCAGAAACCCAGCTGTCTTTTGCAGAAGCAATAAAATGGCCTGCTTTCTGCGGAGAAAAACATTGGCTATGAGGAAGTCTGAGCACACCAATAGCTGGCGCATACTGCAGTCTCTGAGAGCCAGCCTGTCAAGAGCTGGGCACAGAACGGCCCCTTCAGTCTCCAGGTAGACATGGAAAGTAGGCACCGCTGTGTTTCCATGCGGATGGGGAAAGTGAAGCCCAGAGATTACAGCAGTGGAGCTGTGATTCGGACCCAGGCAGCTTGACTCGACAAAATGTTTCCTGGGCCTATAGCAAGAATGGTCCAGAAGAGGAAGAGGGCTGAGGATGAAAGCAATCTGTCTTCTGTTACCCTGAGGTCATTGCACAGATCATGATTACAAAGTCACACAGCTTAGGGTGTTTCCAAAGCACCTCTCTGAAGTCAAATGCTGCTGGCCATGCCTCCCTCCTGACCCAGCTTTCCCGCATTTGTGTCCTCCAACCTGGGCAGAAAATTCAAGACTCCATCCAAGCTGAAGAGAGACCTCAGCGCCAACAGAAAGGAGGGATGTCACCTGCACTCTTAGGAGCTCTGGACATCCATGCAGGAGCTGGGTCAGTGCTCAGGTCTGCTCCATGGGAGGAGCTGCACATTCCCAAAAGCTGCTTGAAGGAAAACTAGAGTTGATGCTGCAGCTGTGCCTCTTTCTGGAGGCAGAGGCACTGTGAGTTCGAAGCCAGCCTTGTCTACAGATTGAGTTCCAGGACAGTCAGGGCTACACAGAGAAACCATCTCAAAGGGGGAAAAAAAGAAGAAAGAAAAGAGAATAGAAGAGAAGAAGGAAGGAAGGAAGGAAGGAAGGAAGAGGAAGAAAAATAATTTGGGCATTTGAGACACAGTAGGTGCTATGGTTGTGGCTCACGAGGGGAATGTTGCTGCTTTTGTCTCCAAAGGAGACTTGGCCTTGAAACATCCAGGGAGAGATGGGCTGGTTGCTCTTTCTGGATGTGGCTGCTGAACTGAATATACTAGATCTCATGACCCCTACTCCACAACTGTGAGTACCTCAGGAGTGGCAAGCATCCTGTGTGCATCATATTGGCTGGAGAATGTTCACAGCTTTACAAGCTGAAGATGCTCACCTGAGCTACATTGGACACTATGCAAAACAAGTTTGTAAGTTCACTGTCCCTCAAAAATGAAGGTTGGGTGTGAGTGCACCACAAAGTGACAGTTCTCCAGTCCTGCACACACTCCTAGCGGAATTTCTGTGGAGCCACACCATGAAGGATATATGTCAGCCCAGGACAGGAAAGCCAAGACTCACATTTCAAGACTCCCTAGGGCTGTGGCAAGACAGTCAGCAATTAAAAATGGGGTTTGCTGCATGGAGAACCCAGTGAACTGACCTCCAAGCTGGATATGAAGTGTCTGAGTGACATTTCAGGACCTGAAACTAGGTGTTTTATCTTCCTTGTTCTTTAATCCCTATTGCAACCTGGGAGGTAAGTGTTGCTGTACTTAGTGCCAGTTGACACTCAAGTGGTCAAGCAAGCTGGAGCATGCATGGGTGTGTACAAATGTGCAGTGTCTATGCTTGCATCTCCCTGATGGGCTATGACCTCAGGTGTATCCTATAACCTGGAACAAGCAAGTCATCTTTACAACTTGTGTTTTGAACTGTTTGCAAGTGAAACCCAAAGTTGTAGGAAACTTTCATTGCATTGAGGGCCCAGCTGTGGTTGACACAATGTGGACAGAATGAATCTGCTTGTTTAAATGACTTGACCTTGATTGTGGTCCATTTAGTAACAGTGTTTTATTCATTGGTCTAAGTGGATGTGTTCTCATCCCTCACACATGGCATTCTTCCTTTAACAAAGAATGGTTTCAGTGAAACTTTCTCGCAGGGGTTTAAGGTCAGAACCTTTTAAAGTGATAATCTTGATGAGAGTTTTTCTTTCATGAGCTATATGAAGCTTAAATAATGTTTAGTTATGTAAAGTCTTAATTTGTGTATGATGGAATGTTACGTACAATGTAACACTGTAATAAGAAAGCAAAGTTTCACTTGGGAGGAAGAGACAGGCCAGCTTGATCTATAGAGTAAGTTCCAGGACAGGTTCCAAAGCTACAGAGAAACCCTGTCTTGGGGGAAAAAAAAGCAAAATTTATGGGAAAATTCATAATATCTTTGTTCTTGTTCAACTATACTTTTAAGATAAAGGTACAAAAGCAAAAGAAAGCTATTACTAGGTTCCTTACTCCTGAGCCCTCAGCGTGCACAGGTAGGTGTTCATCTTTTGATCTGCTCCAAGCCTGGCCTGCTGCCTGAGTAGGGAAGGAACTGAATGACTTCCCGTCATTCCTGTAGTGTGACCATGCTGCTGATCCACATCAGCTAAGCTGGCTTTCCTCACATGGGATTCTGTGGTGAGCCAGCATCCCCACAGACACTGTTCTGAAATGGAATGTGTGCACAGTACGCTGAAGAGAGAGAAGACAGGAGGGAGAAAACCAAGTAGGTTGTTTTCTACTCTAGCAAATGAAGCAAAGCAAAGTACTGTTGTGTATCTCTGACCCAAAAATCCAAACAGATGTTGGTGCATCTGGGATTTCAGATTTTCTGGTTGCAGGGGTGTTATAAAGACTATGCAGATATTACAACGCCAAACCCTGCAAAACCTGAAGCCCCATGCACCTCAGATAAGCTGTGTTCCCCTGTGTATGCATTATCTGCAGTTTCTCAACAGAGGATACCCAGGGCCTTTGCTATTCTTGTGTTTACTGGTACCATGGGCTCAGAGTGGGACAGTACTTCCTCAGAGCTTCAGCAAGCTTCCCCTGTCCCTGGGAATGACTGGGATGCACTCCCCATTCCAGCCTGAGTCTGCATCTGAGCCAGCCAGCCTCGCTAGATGGTAAGTAGTTGTACCAGCTTTCTGTAAGGACCACACAATGTCAGGAACAATCCAAGGCAAAGCAGGCCCCAATGGAATGCAAAGTCGATTCTGTTGACATGAGAATAGCGGAGACAAAGAGGAGGTAGACACCTATCAGCTTACAGGGCCCACGGTTGGAACAGCCTGGAGACCTGACTATCAGAGGTTTAGGACTACCTAGAAAGAGGCTTTGTGAGAACCGATATGCCTAGCGAGGCTGCCTTGGCTAGCCACCTGCCATCTCCCTGGAGAAAACATGCTTTTGATGGGGACCGCAGCATGACACCTGTCATGGCTCAGGTTGAGGAGCAGGCTGTTGCCCAGAGATGAGCTGGCACAAAGTGACCGATACAATATGGGCTCCCCAGTAGATGTGGCCACACAGCCTGGGGACTCCCAGGGACCTATTTTCTATGCAGCTCAGGGCATAATGACACACACGATCTCATTTAGACCTTCTCACTTTCCAGCTCTTTGTTGACAAAGACACAATTGTTAATGCTGTCGGGGCATCGCATGACATTCACCTCCTGAAGATTGACAACCGAGAAGACGAGCTGGTGACTGGAATCAACTCTTGGTGTGCACATCTATTAGACAAGGTGAGTAACGAATGCCAAGCCACCCAGCAGGCTGGCTCAAGTTTTCTGGCTACGAGAGTGTGCTATTTTCCATCAGAAACAAAGTACAGAAAAGAATTAAGGATTGTAGAATCCTGCAATGAACAGTGTGGCCCAGTCCCACTCTTGAACCCATATACTTCATTGTGTCTGTAACTCCTGCTTCAGAGAGAGAGACCAGCAGTGCACGTTGTGGGTGGGGCTCTGAGGCGAACATCTTCCTTCCCTCTCTCGGGCCACAGTGAATGATGTCAGCTGTCACAGACAGAGCACCTGGCTCTCCTTCCATTCCCCAGATTCACAAAGATGAGATCATGAGGAACCGCAAGCGAGTGAAGGAGATCAATCAATACATCGACCACATGCAGAGCGAGCTGGACAACCTGGAATGTGGTGACATTATAGACTAGGTGTCAGCCAGAGATCCCCTGATGGACCCAAGCCCCTGAGAGTTCACACCTACCCCAACACCCTTGGTAATAATTCTCAATTAAAAAAAAAAAAGTCTTAGTATTCTCTTAGCAGGAGACCATGGCAGTGATCATGTATGAGCAGATCTTAAGCCACCTACACAGACATCTCTGGGGTGGCCAGCAGTCGGAGGGAAGTGTGGTGATGGCAGAGTGCTGACCCCATGCATGTGCTAGTGCTCTTCACTTGGCTGAATCTTTCCCTACTCCTGGTGCTGAGGACCAGAGAAGTGAGGGGCTGATGCTCCTACTGCCGCACTGAGCTACAACAGCCTAGGCTGCTCCTGAAGGCAGAGGCCACAGCTCCCTTCAGCTCAGAACATGGCTGCATGATCCTAAGTCAGGGGCTCAGCCTGGTTCTCCAGGCACATCACCCTCCCACTAGGCACGGCAACAGGACAGAGCCTGCTGCTAAGACTGTGGAGGTGGCCATGTGGAGAGGACGCTCAGGACTTCCATTGGAAGATGAGATGAAAGATGTATGTGTTAGCTTCCCACCGCTGTAACAAACACCATAAACAGTCAACTTATAGAGAGAAAAGCTTTATTTTAGATCTTAGTTGCATAGTTCAGTTCTTGATCAGTTGGCATCATCATGGCAGGCACACAGTATAAAACCTCCCACCTCATGGCCATAGAGAGAAGAGGAGGAAGGACGGGGTCTCAAGAACCCCCTTTGATAGCACATCCTCACTGACCTAAAGACCTCCCATTAGGTTCTGCCACCTAATCACAAGACCCAGGGGCACTGATCTTTGACACATGAGCTTTTAGGGATAGTAGCGACTTCTCATGGGGAAGTCATTTCTGCTTACCTCAGGTAAGAACAACAGACCAAAGAAACAATTCCATCCAAGTCCAGCATAATAACCAATGGGCTTAATTAGGATGACTTACAGGAACACAGGCAATTTGCAGGCAGTCTTGCCCTCCCTCTAGAAATGGTAGATACTTACAATCCCTAGGGAGGACACGAGCCTTACGGGCTCTCTCCTCCTCCCATGAGGGAGTATTATCGGGCCAATCTTGTGATGGCCTCATGCGGGTAATTACAGCTGCTCTGATTTCCAGATGGCAATGGCTATGCCACACCTAACGGACAGATTTTCACATACTCTTTCCCCTGGCTCTGGCATTCTTTCCGTTGCCTCTTCTGCAGTGCTCCCTGTACCCTGGTGAGCATGACTGCTAGAGATGGACGGTCATTTTCTTCCACTTAGGGCTGCGCACTTGTTCCCAGTAGTTTGATCAACAATCACCACTCTTTAATACTGAAAGCACTGTTAATGAAGGCCAACCACAGAAGCACAGATACTAGAATCCAATCTGAAAATCAGACTGGGGCACACCTGTAATCCCAGGTCACATTCAGCCACATAGTGAGTTTAAGACAAGCCTAGGGTAGAGACACTGTCTCAAAAAAAAAAAAAAAAGTGTGTGTGTGGGGAGGCCAGATGGGTAGAAAGCAAGAGCAAGGTAGTACCTGAAAGTAAAGCATATTCATTTAACAAGACAGCAATAGCTTCTCCACTAAAAACTGACCTCCTTTGCCACAGTTTTGTTCATACCCATATATCATGCCACTATTGCATGGCTGAATTGTGCACAGCATGCTGAGAGCATAACACAGAGGTGCACAGCTGAGCAGGATCATTGGTAAGAACTCTCCCCTGCAGCCTGCACAGTCTCCAACCTACCAGCTCAGCCAGTATGGAGGGAGCTTCTAGTTCTGGTTCTGGTCTGCAACAAACAGCAGTCAGAACTGTGTGTACTGCGTGTGTACCCAAGGAACCTCCCCACCAGCAACTCAGGGAGGAAGCCCACCCTGGCACTGAAACTTTCATTCACAACCTTATTATGTCTTCTGGCTGTGCCTTTTCCTACTCGGGTGCCTTCTGAGTTGACACTCATGGTTTTTTGTTTGTTTTTTCTTTTCTTTTCTTTTTTTTTTTGGAGACATCTCACTATGCAGTAGCTCTGGCTGCCCTGGAACTCACTCTGTAGACCAGGCTAGCCTCAGAGATCTGCTTGCCTCTGTCTCCCAAGTGCTGGGATTAAAGGCATGTGCCATGCCTGGTGATATTCCTGTTTTGTTTTTTTAAAATATTTATTTATTATGTATACAATATTCTGTCTGTGTTTATGCCTGCAGGCCAGAAGAGGGCACCAGACCCCATTACAGATGGTTGTGAGCCTCCATGTGGTTGCTGGGAATTGAACTCAGGACCTTTGGAAGAGCAGGCAATGCTCTTAACCTCTGAGCCATCTCTCCAGCCCCGGCATTCCTGTTTTTTGTAGACACAGGCTGTTATAAGAATGTCTCAATCACCTTGTCAGGTGGCACCTGTGTCTTACCTAACCACAAAATTCTCAAAGATATTCACAGCTGTTGCCGGACCCCTGGCCCTTGTGTGGGTTGATTTCCATCCTTGCTCCTCTGAGTACGTGTGCATGTCCTTCAGATCCATTTCTAAGTCTGAAAATCATTCAGAAATTAACATTACGTGATGGATCCTTTTTATAGAGCGGGCAGGTTCTCTGAAGGCCCACCAGCATCTGTTCCAAACAAGTGCCAACCTGACCAGGGATTCAGCAGCCACATATACTACAACATTTTAATGGTCCAAAAGAGCATGAAAGGGTCCTGCTGTTTACACAATTTCCTCAAAGGAGCAAGGTTATAAAGCGGTGTGATGGGAGGTACCGGGTTAGGTAGCTCTTTGTCATCCAGATAGTCTCCTAAGCCTCATATCTCCTCATCCTGGGCTCAACACATCTCCCCATACTAGTGAGTTCAGAGGGCCAGGTGGGAGCGGGGCCATGCTCCTCTGTAATACCTGCTTCTTAATTCAGCTGTCCAGTCAACTTTTAGCAAGCACACCCGTGGCTTCTCCCGCCCCTTAGCCACCCCTGGCTATTCAAGGCCAGGGCAAATTATCTCCATACCCAGTATACTTTCTTGTAGAAAAGGAATGTGTACAGCTTACTCTGTGGGGTGGGAGAGGGAGACATAGAGAAACCCTGTCTCAAAGCACCACCCCCTCCCCCCTAAAAAATGAAAAAACACAGATGTGCCCAGTCATTTGGGCATTATTAATTCCAGATATAGTCCAGCTGACAACCAGGAACAGCCATCACACTTGCCATGTTTGCTTCTGACTGAGTCAGACAGGCCCTTTCTTTCTTTTCTCTCCCCTCAATGCCTGGTTTATAGCCCAGTCCAAATCACATAGCTCTGCCAGACACCCTCCTACCTCATGTCGCACTATAGGGGGTCAACAAAGCCCAAATCCCACACCAGAGACCCGGCTGAATTAACTGCTCCCTTAACTCCTGCACACATGGCCCTCGGATTCGAGGGACTAAGAGTCAACCCACCTCTCTCACACCTAGCCTCCTCAGCAGCAGCTGTCTGTCCTTTCTCTGTTGTCCTCCAGCTCCTGATTCTCATGGGGGCTGACTCCTTTGTGTTGCCTCCGGTTAAGCAACCTTGGTCTAAAGGAGTGATGAGCAGTTCTATTATTCAGTTTTTGTTTCTGAAGCACTCACACTCGGCCCATGTGTCCCACCTCACAGCCTCATAAGCCAGGCTAGAAGACACTTTGTTGTTTAAAAGTTTTCCCCAGAACTAAAGAGATGGCTCAGTGGTTAAGAGCACTGGCTGCTCTTTCAGAGGACCCCGGTTCAATTCCCAGCACCAATATGGCAGCTCACAACTGTCTCTAACTCCAGTTCCAGGGGATCCAATGCCCTCTTCTGGCCTCCACATCACCAGATACACCAATATGGCAGCTCACCACTGTCTCTAACTCCAGTTCCAGGGGATCCAATGCCCTCTTCTGGCCTCCACATGCACTGCATGTACATGGTGCAGATACACATGCAGGCAAAATATACATACACATAAAATTAAATTGAAAAAATTTTCCCCAATTCAAGCAGTTCAAAGACAGTACTGCTAGATATGGTGACACATACCTGTAATCCCAATACTACACACATACACACATATACATGCACACATATACATATATGATATAGCTTTGAGGCCAGCCTGAGGTACATGGTTCCAGACTATCCTGGGCTATAAAGTGAGAAACTATCTTAAAAAACAAACAGCCAGGCAGTGGTGGCACACCCCCTTAATCCCAACACTGAGGAGGCAGAGGCAAGAGGATCTCTGTGAGTTTAAGGCCAGCCTGATCTATGGAGTGAGTTCCTGGATAGCCAGGGCTACACAGAGAAACCATGTCTCAAAGAAAAAAAAAACAAGCAAACAAACAAAAAACCACAAAGTGTTAGAAATATTTTCTAACGCGAGCTCTCCGTCAACGCAAAATCCCAATCATGCCGAATCAAAACAAGCCAAATTAAAAGATATCCAGGTTTAATAGGACTCCTGTGCTCTCGGGTGGCCCCAAGGGGAACCAGGAAGCCCCCAACACGACCACGGGGTGGAGGAGGGACCAGACCAATGTTGACTTTCCAGGGAGCAGTTTAAATAGACTGGGGGAGTGGTCCTGACCTCCTCTGGGGAGGGGTCAAGGTTTGGTGGGCTACCTTGACCCTCCTTGGGGGGGTGTCAAGGTGCAAGGGGCACAGGAGTGTGGGGGGGGCTCCAAAGATGGAGGTCAGAGACCAGGATTTACACAAAACACAAAACCTGACAATTTATAAAAAAATTTAAATTCTTCGTTCTGTTCTGTTCCCAGAAGCATCTCTGCTCCTGATGAGGAGTGCTTCTGAACACGTCAGGGTAGTATGCTTCTGTGCATTTCCACATAGTTAACTATTCCCATCAGGTTTAATTTCTATTTTGATCTTGATGCCTTTCATCTTTTATTAGTTTTATTTGAGTTTAAATACAATAAAAATTTGGTATACACACATACACACACACACACACACACACACACACACACACACACACAAATATATTTCAAAGCCCTTAATCTGGCATAAAGTATCCTCAGAATCTAACTTTTGGGTAGCTCACTGCTTTC